CTATGATTACGATGGACAAACTCTGGTCTGTGAGTGTGCCACATGGCACAGTCTCCTCCTGCCAGGACACAGCTCCTGCTGGTGACAAAAAGAATTGTGCCAGTTCATTCCTCACACAAACGGCATTCCTGTTTGAGCGGCTCTTGCACATCATCTTTGTGTTGACCGGTAGCAGATTGGCGGAGAATGGTGGACGGTGACTCCAATCTCCAGGTTGCACCACTCCTGCCGTGTCGCTGTCAGCGAAAGTGGGTGGGATGTATCGGCTCTCTGGTATGTTCACATTATCGCAGTATGCCAGGTAGTTGTGGAGAACCACACACGTCTTTACAACCTTCACCGCTTTATCTGGTTGGAACTCGATGGCCCTCCCAAGAATTCGCCACCGCGCTGCTAGGATCCTAAAGCTGTTTTCAATGACATGCCGGGCACTGGAAAGGCAGTAATTGAAGATCAGCTTATCCTTCTCCAAATTATGTCCTGAAAATAAAAACAGCAGCAATGAGTGTTATTAAACAGAACAAAACCACAACTTAATACACATGAAACACTTGTCATTTTAAATGTGAAACATATGGCTAGTCGCATACCTGGAAAAGGTCACATTATGTTGATGTGCAGGGGGAAGGCAGCATCAGCAACTAGCATGTGTGGTGCTTCAGTCCTGGTTCCAGGGAGAAACGCAGGAGGTGGCAGGTTCAACTTGTTGTTCAGGAGTGTTGAACCAAAGGCACTTTCTTTAAATACACCACCATCACTTTCCCATCCATACCCACCGACGTCCACCATCGTAAATCAATAGTTGGCATCACATGTTGCCATCAGCACAATGGAGTGAGTGCCCTTGTAGTTGAAGTAGTCACTCCCTGCATTTGGTGGTGCTTTGATAGTCACATGTTTGCCATCCAGGCTCCCCACACAGTTTGGGAAGTTCCAAAGAGGCAAAAAATCTGCTGCGATGGCTGCCCACTGGTTTGTAGAAGGACATGGCAGGTAATCTGGTTGGAGTGCTTCCCACAACGCGCTGCAGACCTCTGAAACAATCATTGACGCCTGTTGACTGCTACCAGAAGTCAAAACACGCAGAGTCACGGCCAGTCTCTGGGCAACATTGATCGGTATGCTGGGTGTCCCCTGGTGATGTAACAGTGGTTTCAATCGCCGAACCAGCTCATCAAATCTGTCAACCGACATACGAAAATACCTGAAATGCATTTCTGCATTCATGTCCCTCAAAGGTTGCACAAGTCCTGAAAATGTGCCTGTTGTCTGCCTAGGCCTGTTTAGCGGATGGACATCCCACCGACACCGCTGTCTCCTTTTATGTGGGTGTGCCTGGTCGCTGCTCGTGCGGTCGACCGGCCAGTCAGCTGAGCAGTTATGGCGTTCTTTTAAACTTTTTAAACTCAAACTCTTTTTAAACTTTTTAACTTTTAACTTTTTAACTTTTCAACTCTATCGCTCCTTCTGTGTTTTTCTTTATTTTGGATCATGACCCCCAAGGCTCTGCTATACCAGAGACTTCCTCATTCAACTGCAGCGGCAACCCAGACAACAGCATTTCCGCCCTGTTCCTACGGATTTCTTTCCCGAGGAAATACTCCGTGGACACGGAAATTTGACACTTCATAAATACAAGGTGAATAGGAGGGGATTAAAGAAGGGTGGTGTGAGAGCGAGACTCAAGAGGGAAACACACAAACAACGAGCGCTCCCGTCCATTATCCTGGCTAATGTCCCGTCTCTCCGTAACAAGCTAGACGAGCTGCAAGCTTGCGTCAACCACTTGCATGAGTACCGAACTGCTTCTGTTCTGGCTTTCACTGAGTCGTGGTTAAACAACAGTGACGACGACAGCACGCTGCACATTGATGGCTTTTCACCACCTTTTCGCCTGAACAGAGACCACGAATGCACCGGGAAGCAACATGGCGGCGGTGTATGTCACTATAGCCCTTTTCAGATAGACATTCTGGAACATTTGTGGACAATTTAATCCGGTTTTTAACCGGAACTGTGTTTTCAGACACACCACTTTTGTACCGGAACTTGTCCTTTTGGCTGCGTTCACACAGCAAGGAAAAGTTCCAGATGTCTGACGGCGGCGGGTGGGTGGTGGGGGGAGAGAGATTCGGACTCATGTTAAGAAGAAGAAGAAGAAGAAAATATCATTTCTATAGCGCCTCTCAAGATAAAAATCACGAGGCGCTTAAGCATAATTCTGCGCACATGAAGACGCATAAGAGACCTGGATGATGAAGCTCAATGGTTAAAGGAATCACTGAAGCGGTGTGAAGCGCTCCGTCGCGCGTCTAGACGGTACCATAGGAGGCGAGCTGCCGTGGTTCGCCGCATGCTACAGCAGCGGGCTATCTGGGTGCGCACAGCGTCCCCCGGTCCCCTCCTCCTCCCCCTCCCCCTTGTCCGGAACTCTACCTCACCAGTCTGAAGCAGCCACCCTGTCCGTAACATGTCCGGACCTGTTACTAGGGGCTTCGTCCGGATAAATTCCGGAACACGTTATGCGGATGTTTGTATTCAGACACAAAGGTCTTACGGACAGAGTCCGGAACATTTCCGTTTTTCATGGCCTGTCTGAAGGGGGCTTTAGTAAACAACAGCTGTTGCTCTACAGTCACTGTGAGGGAGAAGTTGTGCACCACAGATATCGAGCTTCTGGCTGTTTCCCTGCACCCCTATTATCTCCCCAGAGAATTCCCACAGCTTTTCATCATCTTGATCTACATTCACCCCAGAGCTGATGCTGCCAAAGCCACAGAGAACCTCATTAGCGGTCTGGACAAATTGAAACAATTATCACCAGACTCTCCCAAGTTCATCCTGGGTGATTTTAACCACTGCTCCCCTGACAAGTTGCTTAAAGGTTTCCAACAGTATGTTACATGCAGCACACGTCAGGGGAAGACTCTGGACAAATGCTTTGGCTCGGTACCAGATGCATTTAAAGCCCTCTCCCTCCCCCCTCTTGGCTCAGCAGACCACCACACCATCCTGCTGGCCCCTGCTTACACCCCAGTCATCAAGAGGATTAAAAAGGTGACCAAAAGCATCCAGCAGTGGACAGCGGAAAGTATTCTCACCCTACAAGGATGTTTTGAGGCCACTGACTGGGTCAGCCTTCTTTCTTCCTCTGATGACATCAACAATCAAGTCGACACAGTATCATCATACATCTCCTTCTGTGTAGACAGCACCATCCCCTCAAAAAAAGTCACCATCTACCCCAACAACAAACCTTGGATCACCAAGGAGCTAAAGGAAATCCTTAACAAAAAAAGAGGATTTTCTTCACCGGTTCTGCACAGGATAAGAAAGAAGTCAACAGGGAGGTCAAGAGGGCCATTAAAGATGCTAAACTGAAATATAAAAACAATGTGGAAAAAAAATTTACCACAGGGGACCTTCCCTCAGCCTGGCAGGGGCTCAAAACCATGGCTGCTGTGAATACTGTGGTCACCGCCTCCAGATCCATCCAGGTAGAGGGCAGCAACCCCACCTCCCTCCCTGATGACCTCAACGCTTTCTACACCAGGTTTGAGACGGACAATATCACCCAGCTTGAGGAGTCCAGATCCTCCCTCAAACCTGGCAGCTCTGCACTCGCCTTCCAGACCGAGGACGTGGTGAGAGCCCTCAGGAGGACCAGGGAGAGGAGCTCACCCGGCCCTGACAACATCAGTAGCAGAGTTCTGAGGCACTGTGCAGAGCAGCTAGGAAGTGTGATCCAGACTCTATTTCAACTCTCACTTGACAGTCACACCGTCCCCCAGCTGTGGAAACACTCCACAGTTATCCCTGTCCCAAAAAGAAACAACCCAAAGTCTCCTAACGATCTTCGTCGTGTAGCGCTAACCTCCTTGGTGATGAAGGCCATGGAGAAGATCATAAAAGAGCACATTGGTACGATTTCCACAAAAGTATGGGTGAGGTGATAGGAGTTTCACTAAGATCACCTTTATGGCAAAACAAACTGATCTCTCTGACTGTAAACAACAAGATTCTGGAAGCAGGGCATCTTCATGGAATTCATCATAAGTTGGAGGACAGTTATCATGACCTTCGAACTGTTAGGAAAACATAATCTGTCGAGCAATACTTTAATCTGTCTGCGATCCTTCCCGAGAAGCACACTGGACAATTATTTAGCTTTTTTTAAAATCATTTTCACATGAAGCGCTTGTCACTGTGTTGAGTACTGAGATAAGAATGAGGTTTATCCTGGCTCCCCAGGCCTGAGGATACATTTTGAAATGAATGACCACCATCACAATTGGGTTAGTGTTACTTGGTATGTTTATAGGTGTGTAACTTGTTTACATTATTGCCCACCTCTAGTGTTCAAAACACTAAGCTCCAGCTGAAATGTTGCTTTTTATTCTTATTATGTGCTATGTTTACCTGTGGAGTTCCCATCCGAAGACTCAGACACTTTTTGTGGGTTCACGTCTAAAAATAAATACGTTGACAATCATGCAGTGATGTTTTTGCCATTATGCAACATTGCTTTGGGATAAGTGGTCTTTTACATATTTAAAATGAGAATATTACAGTCACTTTAACAAAATTGGCATCTTAATTTCATAAAATATCTACAAATAAATATTAACAGTAGAATCAAGTTGTTTCGTTCTTACGGAGTATTCTAATCTAATCGTTTTGAATCTAACGGGTCTTTAATAAAAGGATATAGTTTGTAAAATGGAATCATAACCTGTGAATCTAGATTCATATCGAACCTTTGATCACAGAAAGATGTGCAACCCTTCTGCCTTTCTCCTGTTTTAGAGCCAACATATAAATAAAATCAATCCAACAATGTGATTTATTACTAGTTCACTTTTACTGGTTATTTTGTAACAGAAACAGAAGCTGCTGAAGAGGACAGAACAGGTTTTACAGCAGAAAGTTCATATTTGGTCATGGCCCCGAGAAGCTGTGGTGGAGTCCTTATTTACATATCTGAAAGGTGGCAGCCCTACCTGTGTCCATGCTGTCCAGGTCCAGGTGGTGAAGAACACACGATGAATCAGTCCCAGCTGATGGATGATCCTGAAGTGGTAGCAGGTTTTCTTTAGCCGTGTTTAGCTAACAGCTGCAATAGAAACAAAGCAGGAGAGCTGATTAAGATGCTGCTTCAGAACAACGCAGGAGATTAAAGACCCAACGCTTTGGTTCTGGCCAAAGGAACAGCAGCAGATCCAGAGGGCAGGAAGTCTAGAGAAAAGCTTTTCTCACCCACAACCTGATTCTGGAGCTCCGATTGTCACGAAGACCGCAGAATATCTTCTCTGGTTCTGGAAAGAACTCCACCAAGTTGTTGAGGAGGAGAAGAAAGTTTCCACAGCCTGGTGAGAAGATTTCTGCAGCAGCAGCAGTTAGTCGCTTTAGCTAATCAACTCTCCCAGAGACTGAAGTGAAGACATTTTTACTGCAGAGCCTCAAATATTCTCCTCACACACCAGAACAACAACAAGCTAGCTCTGTTAGCAGCTTCCGGTTTCTGCTTTTTCCGGTGGTCGGTGACCAGCGTAAAGGTGCACTGCCGCCACCTGCTGGAGCAGAAAACACATCTGTGTGTTCAGAATGGGACTAATAAAACACACATAACATGAGTTATATTTTTATTATTTCAGGTAGTCTCTTCAAAAGCCACGAAAAACAAGTAAAATACTTTTTTTCTTTATGATGCTTTTTAATCTAAATCTGACCAGTTTTATTCTTTAGTCAGTCATTTTATTGTCATTTCTACCACATGTGCAAGACATACAGAGAAACGAAATTGAACTTCAAATAAACTAAAAAATCTCACTTTCTATAAATAATGTGAGGAAAACTTTGATGTTGTTACTTTTACTTTTAGCAGCTCTGAGAAGCAAATAAAAAGTGTTGGGAAGGTGCCGATTTAGTCATTATAGCTTCATGTAATGCTTGATGACGCTCTCGTTTCTCCACTCACTGAGCTCCGATGGGCAAAAGTAAAAGATAATGTAATGTCCCGTCGGACACAAGCCCCCACAATGCGGCTCAAAAATTGAGTCAAACCCGGAAGTACCAAAAATTGCAGTTCCACCCTCATCCGCTGGGGGCGGGTGTCAGAAGCGAGCAAATCCTCATTGACTCCCATGTTAAAAATACCAATTTCACAGCAGAAATAAACATGTTTACAGCCTGGTACCAAAACATGTTTTTTGTTTAAATGATCTAGTTTACACTCATGACAACTCTGAGGGGGGTGAATTTTTTTCTCACTCTTCTGTTTAAGTGTATTAAACGCCTAAAATTCTGTATAATTAATGAGCATCCGACCCACGTGACCAACGAGCTAGCTCCGTGGAAAGGCCTCAGTACAGCCTCGGTCTGGTTTGGAAACTGTTCCGGGATTTTGAGTCTTTGTGTTTGTGTATTTTTTTTTGGTTATTTTTTGTGCAATTGTTGGACAAAATGACTTGTTGTGGCATTAATTGCACTAATAGAGCGTCCAAGGAGTCTCCACTTCATTTTTTTGGTAAGTAAAATTATATGTGTATTTTAGGTCACTGCCGAGCTGAGCTTAGATTTTAACAAGTACTGTTTAACCATGAAATTTAAATGTAATAGGGTAAAACCCAGTGCATTTAACATAATGCTGCACTTTAGAAAATGGGTTGAAATTTAACATGTTGGTGGAGTTGGGTTCCGACAATCGGCTTGTGGAGCTGTCAGGAGACCGATGTTTTCCACCTGTTTCTGCCCTCCCCGCAGCTCGGTACATCTCTGTCTGATCGCGGCTTCTGTCTGCTGCGCGGGCTGCCAGCTTTCAGCAGCTTTCGGGAGACCTCTGTGTTCCACCCGGTTTTACCCAGCGGTCAGCCCAGCGTATCTCTGACTCAGAAGCTCTGGTGTTGTGCACAGTTAACTCTGGTTGTAGCTAGGTTGCTACTTCCGTTAGCTTAGCTCCCACCTCCGCGTTAGCTTTGGGTTAGCTTGTAGCTAGTTCGACCGGGTGTCGTCAGTTGATCCCAGCCTTACAGCCACACCCTCAGCTCCACCTCTCTTCCCTTTTGTGGAATTGTCTGGGCTTGACGGAACCTGTGACACGGTCAAAATGGCAGTGGTGGCCACCTCCCATTTCTCCTCAAAAACGTGTTATTGGAGCCTATGGAAACCCATTGTCCAATATTTATATGTCGATGGTCGGACACAATAACGGTCGGAGACGCTCACTTATGCTTTAGTCTTTAATGACTCCCCAGAAGAGTTGCTGTTGGCCGCAACCACGCCAAACAGAGCCCAAAAAAAAAAAACAACCACTGAATAGAGAGAGAGCGAGACCAAAAAACCCAACCACACCTCCTCAGGGTTTTCCTACACACACCCCTCCCTCACTCTCGCTCCTCCCCCTCCCTAGAACTGCTCATCCATTCCAAAATTACAGTAAAAGAGAACCAAGCACAACAGAACAATTAACTGCAAAGAATGTGGCACATGGAACACATACTGCTGACATTCTCACACAGAACACAGCTAAAGTGCAGAATGTTACAATAAGTTTCTGTTTAGAATAAATATTCCACATATGTAAGATAATATAATAAATACTCTGTATAAAGATATGATACATGTGTAACTGTTATGTTTTTAACTCAAGTCCAGAATCATGTCTTCAGTTTCTGAGGCGTTTATGGACAGGTTGTCTCCAGAGCACCATGGGTTAGGGTTAGGACAATGGAGACAGGCTTCATCAATGGACACAAAGACATAGACTAGCATACACCAGGAACTTGTTGTGTTCATCTTACAGAGCAGAGCAATCTGTGCATCACCCACTCACAAAATGGTGCTGCACAGCCGATGGACACTAAGAATCAAAAACATGAAGGCTGGAACGCAGGTGAGCAAAGGTTTATTCGGTGCAAGTAAAAAAGATGCTAACGTTTCATCACTGGATGTGTCTTTGTCCGAGTTACATCTGAACAACAAGCCGGTTTCATTAAAGAGCAAGTCACCGGTGGATCACAGTGAGTTACACTAATTCTAATATATTTTTTATTTCTATTATATATACATACTTTTAATTATTATTACATACATACTTTTAATTATTATTTTCACATGACTGTTATCAGGCTCTCTTGATCTGGTTCTCATGCTAATTCTGTTTCTTCCAATAAGTTATCATGTGCTTACTTCATCTGTATAATGTCTCTTTACTTTTGGTGAACTGTACTGAGTCCAGCATAAAGGCTACTTGGCTTTACAAGATACAAACAAGTAATAAGTTTTAGAAATATATGAAATGTATTAAGTCCCTTAGCCTGCTAATTTATCTCAAATACTAATAACTACGTTTAAAATATAGAAAACTTGCTCAAAGCAAAATATATTTTCATTAAGGAAATAACTTATAAACTTATCGATTTAATACTTTTTTATTCACAGAAAGATAGTTTTCATTAAAAAGCGCCTCAAACCTCCACACAAACTCTGTGTGAGCTTCAGGTCGCTGGTGATCCACAGTTAGCCCCGGTTGTAGCTAGGTAGCTAAATCCATTAGCTTAGCTCCCACCTCTGCGTTGGCTTTGGGTTAGCTTGTAGCAACATTAGCTTCAGTTCGACGGGTGTCGTTATTTGATCCCACCTTGCAGCCCCACCCTCAGCTCCACCTCTCTTCCCTTTTGTGGAATTGTCTGGGCTTGACGGAACCTGTGACACGGTCAAAATGACGGTGGTGGCCACCTCCCATTTTATCTCAAAAACGTATTATTGGAGCCTATGGAAACCCATTGTCCATATATATATATATATATATATATATATATATATATATATATATATATATGTCGATGGCACACACACACAGGCTCACAACAACATTGTGACGTCATAATACCAACTAATGTCATAGTGCACCATACCAGTTTATTTTTTATAGCGCATTTACAACTGATGGAATCACTCCTAAGAACATTCCAGAGTTTCAAAATGATGTTCCCAACTTTGCCTGCTGCTGGAGAGAATACGGTCGAGAAAGTAATGCGGGGGTGTGATGTTTTAGGTTTCTTCCCCGGAAGTGACTCTATTGGTGTTCTCAGCTTTGTCATAAGCAGATGAGATGACTGGAGATGGGTATCCTCTCTGTTGGAAGCGCAGCATCACATCTGCAGCCATCGACTCAAACTCCATGGTGGAGCTGCAATTTAACCGCTGTCTTAAAAACTGGCCAAAGGGAATGTTGTTGTAGAGGTGGCGTGGATGGTTGCTGTCAGCTCTCAAAGTGTGTTCCTGCTCATGTAATAGCGATGGACCGAGGTTTCCATTTCTTGATTCATGTTCTTGTAGATTTTCAAGCACGGAGGTCAGCATCTCAGCTGCTTCTGGACGTCTCACCACCAGATACCAGCTGATGAAGCCATGTGTGGTGTTGGGGGATTTTATCAGAGACTTGAAAATAGTCCTGGATTCAGTCGGCAAAGTTTAAGTTTTATTACAATAAGAAGAAACAAATAATGAAGCATAAAGATCATTGCTAAGATCTAGAACAACACTTAGTAGCAAAGTCAACAGTAATCTATATGAAACATTTATCTTTTTCCGTTCTTCAAGAATAACCTCTTCTAGAGTCTACATGTTGTACACATTGTGGATTGCCCATAATGAACACCATGTTCAGGGATAAGGGTGTCCATATGTGCTCTTGGCACCAGGATACCTTAACCCGCAGCTTGATCATAGACTTTGTTGTCGTTTTAGCCGATCTGCGGCTGCATGTCTTGGACACTTGAGTGAAGAGAGGGGCAGAGCTGTCAACAGACCACTACCTGGTGGTGAGTAGGCTCCGAAGGTGGAGGAGGATGCAGTGCAGACCTGGCAGGTCCAAACGTATTTTGAGGGTATGCTGGGAACGTCTGGCAGTCTCTTGTCAAAAGTTCAACTCCCACCTACGACAGAACCTCCAAAACGGTCTGGAGAAGCGGGGGATATTGGATCTGATTAGGCCGTTCCGTGCCTCTATTGTTGAGGTGGCCGATCAGAGCTGTGGCCGCTGGGTCATTGGAGCCTGTCGTGGCGGCACCCCCCAAACCTGCTGGTGGACACCGGCGGTTAGGGATGCTGTCAAGCTGAAGAGTTCTATCTGGTCTTTCTGGCCTGTAGAACTCCAGAGGCAGCTGATGGGTACTGGCAGTCCAAGCGGAATGCGGCTCAGGTGGTCTGGGAGACAAAAACCCAGGTGTGGGAGGAGTTCAGTGAGACCATGGAGCAAGATTTCCATATGGCTTCGTGGAGATTCTGGATCAATGTGGTGTGTCCTGGCTGTGGAATGCTGGGCCAGCTCTAAACCCTCAGGGTGTCCTGGAGGGTGCATAGCAGTTTGCCCTACCAATCTACATGTGTTTTGTGGATTTGGAGAAGGCATTCATCCACATTCCATGTGTGTGAATTCCATCCAACCATTCACACACTAGTGGGGATGAGGTATGATGTAACAACAGCTGCCCTGGGGCGCACTGACAGAGACGAGGCCTGCCAAACACTGGTGGCGTCAGTCCCTCTAACCACCACCAGCAGGCAAGGGAGGTTAAGTGTCTTGCCCAAGGACACAACAGCAGCATTCTTTGGTCGGAGCCAGGATTAACTTCTGATTATTGGACAAGCCGCTCTTCCTTCTGAGCAACTGCTGTCCCATGAACTAATGAACTGAACTGTACTGGAATGTTTACTTTGTGAAGTGCTTTGAGAAGACTCTTTTTGTGATTTGACGCTAAAATGAATAAACTGAATTGAACTGAACTGCTTGTGAGGCGGGCCATAGCAAACTGTGGTCAGATATGAAGTGACCATTTAGAGCAAAGCTAATGCACAGACCACTGGGCTGGTAAGTCCTATTTGCCAAGATTTTTTTAAATTTCAACTATATAACCATCCTGTAACTGTAACACTCCTCCTGAACTCGTGCCAAGATCAACAAGTCTTGTTAGTGTGACTGCAGCAGTATGGCTAACAGTGTTAGCTCCAGTAAAGAGAAAATAAGTCATTTGGGAAAGCTACGACATGCTCAATGGTTGGATCTAAAAGATAATCCACATATTCCAACAATATATCCTGCCGAGACTGGCAGAACCTCAGTAACCTCCTGATTTACTACCATAGCAACATGCTGAGGTAGTGGAAAACTGCTGCACTAGTGCGGTCAAAAGGTAGATGGGTAGCAATCATACTGGAAGCTATCTTTTTAGTTGTGCTATTTCAAAACATCAAAACATTTTTAAAAATCCACCTTTGGAAATCCAATTTTTTAGCTATGGTTATAGAATTTTTTTTTTTTTCACAATTTCTTTCAAAGTAATTTTCCCTCTGACCAGTTAATTAAAAAAAGGGAAGTTGTGCTTTCAAGTCCACTCATTATTATGTTTAATCATGTTCCACTTTGGCAGGAAGCTGTATAATAAGTCTCTTTGTCTTACACTCATGAATGGAGCTGAGTGGGGGGCAGAAAACGGAAGCCCATAGACATTATTATCAGATGTACCAGTGTTTTATAAATAAATAAAAACACCAAATGTGCTATTTCATCAGCTCAACAATTGGGATTAGCTCCCAAAACTCCCCACCCCCACTCTCACTCATTACTATCACTAACAACTTAAAAACCATGGAAAAACCTGGATGTCAAAAATAGTAAACATAGCAGGTCCTGAGTCAGAAGTAGCACTACAAAAAAATGCAGTTTATCAATCACGTGTCCGTGTTGTTTGAAATCACAATTTGAATCAGAACATAATATATCCTGTAGCCCTAGTGGATGCTAAGGTGATTGTTTAAAGTTTTCTGTCGACTAAATCTTTTTCCACATAACTCACAAGCAAAAGGCTTCTGTCCTGTGTGGACTCTCATGTGACTGGTTAAAGTTGCCTTATAGCTAAATCTTTGCCCACAGAGCTCACAAGCAAAAGGCTTCTGTCCTGTGTGGACTCTCAAGTGACTGTTTAAAGTTGACTTCAGGCTAAATCTTTGTCCACAAAGCTCACAGGCAAAAGGCTTCTGTCCTGTGTGGACACTCATATGACTGTTTAAATTAGTCTTCTGGCTAAATTTCTTTCCACAAAGCTCACAGGCAAAAGGCTTCTGTCCTGTGTGGACACTCATGTGTCTGTTTAAATGCGTCTTTTGGCTAAATCTTTTTCCACAGTGCTCACAGGTAAAGGGTTTCTGTCCTGTGTGGACTATTAGGTGTCTATTTAAATGTGTCTTATGGCTAAATCTTTTTTCACATAACTCACAAGCAAAAGGCTTCTGTCCAGTGTGGACTCTCATGTGTCTGTTTAAAAGTGTCTTTTGGCTAAATCTTTTTCCACAGAGCTCACAAGCAAAAGCATTCTGTCCTGTGTGGACTCTCAGGTGAATGTTAAAACTTGATATATTTCTAAACATCTTTCCACAGTCATCACAACTAAATGATGTAAGCTTTGTATGGACTTCCCTACATGAGTCTACATGCTTCTTCATTCTAACACACTTCTTACTAACCAAACATTCTGAAGACCTTATTTCTGAATGACTCACTCTCACATGCCTCTGGAGAGACCACTTATGGACAAATTGTTTACCACACTCAGGGCAACTAAACGATTTGTTGACAGTCTTGACATCTGACTCAGAACAACTGTTTGCAATCCAGTTATTGTCTCCATCTCCAGTTTCTGGTCTAGAGTCTGACAGCTCAGAGTCTAGAGTCACATCATCATCATCCTCTTCACTAACTTCAGGGTCTGAAGAATCAGATGTCTGTTCATGAGGGTTCAGATCAGGGTTCCTGCTAGTTTCTGCTCCCCCGTCAGTCTCTGCTGCCACCTGGTCAGCTGAGCTGCTGGTTGGAACATCTCTGTCTTCTATTTGCTGTTGATGAAGCTGTGAGAACAGAGGTTTCTCTTCATTATCCTCACTCTTTATTGCAACAGTGAATGGAAACCTGGCAGCATCAGGCTCCTCCTTCAAACAGAGATGCTCTCCCTCCAGACTGGTCCAGAGCTCCTCCTGTTCCTCCTTTATGTGGAGGTGTTCTGGGTCCTGCAGGTCCACACCAGCACTCTGTTCTTCAGGAGCTTCTTCTTTAACCTGAACCCCCTGTTGAACGTCTGTAGAAAACACATTAAATGTATGACAGATTGATGTAACTTAATATTTACACATACAATATAGCAGTTGTATTATTTTACATCACGTCTCCCTTAAGGGAACATAATTTTTTTGTACTCCCCTCCCAACTCCGTGTTAGTTACATGCACGCGCACACTCTCACATGCACATGCGCGCGCGCGCGCACACACACACACACACACAGCTCCTAACTGAAAAGATTGTGGGCACCACTTACTTTTATGTTTATTTCGAGCTAGGGCTGAGCGATATCTTGCTATTTGAAAATATCTATATAATTTTGAACAGGAAACAAGACAACTCTGTATCATTTATATCAATATAACTATACAACAAGTGTATATCTATGTTATCGGACGAAGCTACCACTTGCTTGCTCCATCTCTAAGTGGTCAATACATGTGTTCTCATGCGTCTAATTCAATTCAATTCAAGTTTATTTATATAGCGCCAATTCACGACAAGAGTCGTCTCAAGGACCTTCATATAGTAAACATTCCAATACAGGTCAGTTCATTAAGCGAATCAAAACAAAGTTTCCTATATAAGGAACCCAGCAAATTGCATCAAGTCACTGACTAGTGTCGGTGACTTTACAGCAATCCTCATACTAAGCAAGCATTTAGCGACAGTGGAGAGAAAAACCTCCCTTTTAACAGGAAGAAAGCTCCAGAAGATCCTGAGTCAGTAAAAGCAGCCATCCACCACGACACAATGGGGATTGAGAAGACAAAGCACACACACACACACACACACACACACACACACACACACACACACACACACACACACACACACACACACACACACACACACACACACACACACACACACAACATATATACCAAGTGACCTTGCTATGGTTACAATGTGATTTCTTAGTAAATATTCTATTTGGTGAGATAAACTTTATTGTATTTATCCTAGTGAATCTATAATTAAATGGGTAAACTAGTAGTAGCACATTCAATGACAAAGAAAGTTCATGTTATTATCTGGAGAGGGAGAATGATTAAATGGTTAGCAACAGTGTTCAATACGATGGCCCCCTCCATGAGGCCACCACAGCTCAGCAGAACATCATTGTAGCTTCTTCTCGGGAGAAAAACACTTAGAGAAAAAATAAAGCTAACAGCTGAAATAGCAGGAAATAATACAGTTAAAGAGCAGATTGTAGAAGAAAGTAGTCGAGTGTGGAAAGTGGTCAGTGTATCCTCCAGCAGTCTAAGCCTATAGCAGCATAACTACAGAGATAACTCTGGATAACTTAGCCTTTCAGATGGAGGCATGTTGGAGGCAGGGCAAGGGAGAGCCGTCTTTACCGACTGTTCACTCCACCTCCTGTTTTAAGCATTGTCTTAAAAGTAGACAAGGTGTCTGCCTCATGGACTAAAGCTGGGAGTTGGTTCCACAAGAGAGGAGCCTGATAACTAAAAGATCTGCCTCCCATCCTATTTTTAGATATTCTGGGAACCACCAGTAAACCTGCAGTCTGAGAGCGAAGTGCTTGGTTAAGAACGTATGGAACAATCAGGTCACTGATGTATGATGGAGCTTGATTATTAAGAGCTTTATATGTGAGAAGAAGGATCTTAAAATCCATTCTGAATTTAACAGGTAGCCAAGGTAGGGAAGCCAAGACAGGAGAGATTTGATCTCTCTTTTTAATTCTCATCAGAACTCTAGCTGCAGCAGTTTGGACAAGCTGAAGACCTATAACTACATTCGGTGGACTTCCTGAGAGAAATGAATCACAGTAATCTAGTCTTGATGTAATAAATGCATGAACTAGTTTTTCAGCATCACTCCTGGAAAGGATGCTTCTAATCTTAGCAATATTCCAAAGGTGGAAAAAGAAAATCCTACAAACCTGTTTAACCTGGGATTTGAATGACATGTCCTGGTCAAAAATAACGCCAAGGTTCCTTACTTTGTTCTCGGAGACTAATTTAATGACATTCAGGTCAGGTGATTGACTAAGCAATTTCCTTTTCTGAATTTGAGGTCCAAAGATGAGGACATCAGTCTTGTCTTGATTTAAAAGCAAAAAGTTTTGAGTCATCCAAATTTTTATGTCTTCAAGACAAGCCTGTAATCTAACTAACAGATTAGGTTAATCAGGGTTAATGGATAAATATAACTGAGTATCGTCAGCGTAACTGTGGAAGTTTATCCCATGCTGTCTAATGATTTTACCAATTGGGAGCATATATATATAGTAAAAAGAATTGGTCCAAGCGCTGAACCCTGTGGTACTCCACAAGTAACCCTGGAATATGAAGAAGATTTGTCATGTACATTTACAAAATGATATCTATCAGACAGGTAGGATTTCAAACAGCCTAGCGCTGTTCCTTTGATCCCTACAACATGTTCAAGCCTTTCTAAAAGAATATTCTGATCAATTGTGTCAAAGGCAGCAATGAGATCTAACAAGACTAGAACAGACACAAGATTCTTATCTGAGGCCATGAGAATCTCATTTGTAACTCTCACTAATGCAGTTTCAGTGCTGTGACACTCTCTAAAACCAGACTGAAATTCCTCAAACAGATCATTAGTGTTTAAATGCTCACATTCTCGGAAGGCCACCATTTTCTCCAGGACTTTGGATAAAAATGGAAGTTTAGATATTGGTCTATAATTCATTGGGCCATCTGGATCCAGAGATGGCTTCTTAAGTAAAGGTTTGATTACAGCAACCTTAAAATCCTGTGGTACATGTCCATTTACTAAGGATAGATTGATTATATCTAGAATGGGGGCAGTAACTAATGGAAATACAACTTTAAATAATTTGGTTGGGATGGATCTAAAATGCAAGTTGAAGGTTTAGATGAAGCTAATATTTTTGATAACTCTGACAGCTCATCTAGATCAAAATGGTTCAAACACAGATGAGGTTCTACAGTTACCTCAGATGCTGCCTCACTTACTGAGGAAGAAGAAATCACATTAGGGAGGATGCTAATGATTTTAGGGCTGCCGCTATCGAATATTTTTGTAATCGAGTACTCTATCGAATCTTTTTTCGATTAATCGAGTACTCTAATAAATTACCCTTTTTTGTTTGTAAACCATTATATCAAATAGCATGTTATAAAATATGAAAGACCTCTTAAAATGAGCACGCAGTTGCCAGTTATTCTTCAAGTTTTATTCAAAATTAGTTTTCAAAACTTCAGCACCTCAACTTTACTTCACAGTAAACAAATGCCTGTGCAAAAAATAAGTATACAACCTGAGCCGATTTTCCCCTCATGCGACAATCTGCTAGCCTGCAAGCCAGACAAAACCTAGGAGGATAACTGTTGAAGTAGCGCTGCGAGCGGCTGCGGCCCAAACAGAACCAGAACCGCTCAAGGCGCATGGGCAAACAGCTTGCCGGCTGTTTCCCTATTAACACACGTCCGTTTTGATTTCTACACTTTCTTTCTCACACAATAACAAGGATTGTCGAGAAAGCATGTTTGCTGTGGTTTTGTCAAATTATACTGATCACAAAACATTTATTTACTTTCTTTCGTTTTCTCCACCACTCTCATAAATACCCGTGTCCTCCTGCAGCAATCCCGAGGGACAACAAATATCAATAACAACACAATAAAAAGTCCGACATATTGTGTAAAAACTGCTATTTTTTAACACATTTTAAGTCCGACGTGTTGCTACCAGATGTATGGTGTGAGCTGAAACTTGAGTGCTACAAACGAAAAAGTCGCACAGTGTCCGCAGAATATATAGAAATACAGGCTAAAATGCATTATCTTGTAGAGCAGGGGTGTCAAACATGCGGCCCGCGGGCCGGATGCGGCCCACAAGCGGATTAAATCCGGCCCGCGAGATGGTTGTGAAAACTTTATTTTCATACTTTACAATGTAGAGTGAAAATAAACTTATCTTAGTGAGCAAGTTTTCTCTGTAACCAGTATTAATAAAACAAAGCTGCGCTCAAGGCTCATACAAGAACTTGAATCCCATCCTGAAGTTGGCTGCCACTCAGGATGTGACTTCTGATATTGATGTGGTGGTGAAAGCTAAAAGATGTAAAGTAAAATGAGTCAAATATACTTTAAGTGCTGCATGGAACTGATCTTGCCATGTGATCTGTAAGCTCTTTGAATCACTAAGGAATTTTTTATTATGTATTGATTTTTTATTTTTTTCAAATGTTCAAGTACACTTCTGGTGTACTTTGTCCTCAGGCTCCAGCCTTGTTTTATATTGATTGTATTAAAACAAAGAAAACAATCAGAAGTTTTTTATTTATTTATTTATTTATTTACCGGTCCGGCCCACTTGGGACTAGATTTCCTTCAATGTGGCCCCTGAGCTAAAATGAGTTTGACACCCCTGTTGTAGAGGCTCCGAGTCCGCTTGCAGAAGTGACATTTACAGGTGCTGCAGCATGGAGGATGTGGTGTTGTGGTAGGCTAAATCCATTTTACAGTATTTATACTGGACTACGTTTTCCACCTTACGACGTGAAAAATGGTCCCACAACTTTGACACTCCACCGGGGTTCAAGTTGTCCGCCACGGCTTAAGAGAAAGTTAAGTTACATTCGCTACTCGCGTGTGCATTCAGTCCAGTGGGCATGTGCGTCACTTATTTCAGTCCGGGTGAAACATGACCCCGAGCGATTGCAAACCCATGAATTAATTAAACATGAATTAAACGAATCCTCGAGGCAGAGAATTTGACTCGAGGCTTGTTTGTACTCGAATTATTCGAGGTACTCGAGGAATCGTTTCAGCCCTAAATGATTTTGTTTCTAATAGAATTAAATTTACTCGTGAAAAATCCCATATAGTCGTTGCTGCTGAGGGCTAAGGGCATATATGGTTCAGAGCTATGATTCCGTGTAAGTTTGGCAACTACTGAAAAGAAATTTAGGATTATTCTTATTCTCCTCAATAAGCAATGAAAAATAAGCAGTTCTAGCTTGTCGAAGCTTATTTTTATAAAGAACATGACT